ACTTTATCATTGAGCTACATCCCTGGCCCCCCTTTTAATTTTTATTTTGAGGCAGGATCTCACTAAGTTGCTGAGGCTGGCCTCCAACTTGTGATCCTCCTTCTTTAGCCTCCTGAGTCACTGGGTTTACAGGTATGTACCACCACACCTTACCTGAACAATAAGTTCCTCCAACAAGTAGAAGATAGAAAATGAGCTTTGCTAGAGAGCATCCTAATTAGCTTTCAATTATCTAAAAAAAAAAAAAAATTAGGTCAACTTTCTGACAATCAACTCAGGTTATTGTCCTCTGAGGTTCATTTTGAAACACCTTTTAATTTTTTATGCATGCTCATTATAAGAATATTATAAACTTGCTGTTTTAGGCTAAATTGTAACCCTATCACAAAATTATTACCAATATTAACTTTTTGGGGTAGCATCTGACAGAATGTTTTCAATATATACACAAATATAAAAGAAAGATTTATTCAACAAATGTTTGTTGAGTGTCTCTTAAGAGCCAGGGTTATTTCTAGAGCATGGTACCATATTTGTTACTCTGCCAACTCAGCATTAGCTCTCATTTGAATGTACTTCATGCAAAATTATGACAGATTGTACTTTCTAAATTCACCCTACATGCTGCTTCTTCTCCTTCTTCTTGTGCTGGAGTTGGAACCCAGAACCTTGCTTATTTATTCTGGTCAAGTGCTCTACCACTGAGCTACCTCACCAGCCCCACATTATATACTTTTGGAACCTTTCTGTGTCCCATAAAGAGGGAGAATCTATGCCCATTTGGCTTGAACTTGGGTGAAGTTTGATGGCTGCCTCAATCCAGCAGATGTGACACTATATGAATGACACTAAATTCCAAGAGAGAATAAAAGGTGATATTACTTCTGCCTAGCCATCTCTTGGGACTCTGGCCATTGGAACACAGCCAGCATGTTGTGAGAAAGCCCAAACCACAAGGAGAGGATGCGGGTAGCTATTCCAGCTGATAGCCCAGCTGAGGTCTCAGGCATCAGCCAGCATCAACTGTCAGTGCCTGATGAGCAAATTGTCAGATGACTCCAGTATCTAGCCTTCAAGCCACAGTAGCTTATGACAAATACAGAAGAGGCAGCTGTACCCACTGAACCCTTCCAATATCACAGATTTGTGAGCAAAATGCATGTGGCTTTTTTTAAGTCATTAAGTAGCCAGATGGATTGTTACACAGCAGTGGCAACACTTATTTTAAAAATTAAAGCCAATTTCTTATTTTCAGAGCTTCATATGATTACAAAGTTGCTTTCCAAATAAAAACATCCTTTATTCATATAATAGTATGTGTAAACCTGGCATACTGATGCACACTTGTAATCCCAGAGACTTGGGAGGCTGAGACAGGAGGATAGGAAGCTTGAGGCCAGTCTGGGAACCTAGTGAGACCCTGTCTCAAAATAAAAATAATAAAAAGTTCTGGGAATGTAGATCAGTGGTAGAACACTTCCCTAATATGTGCAAGGTTCTGGGTTCCTTCCCCAGCACCACAAAAAGGAAAGAAAAAAAGAAGGAAGGAAGGAAGGAAGGAAGGAAGGGAGGGAGGGAGGGAGAAAGAAAGAAAAAGAGAAAATTATATCTCAAATGTTTCAAATGCTTTGGTAAAATCAATTGCTACAAATTCAATGACTGAAAAGGAAAGATCACTGAGCATAGTAAATCCACTGAGAGTTCTGTCAAAAAGAAGTTCTAAGATAATACTTTTAAATATTTAAATTATGACAAAAGTGATAGAGTAAATATGAATTTTGAAGGTGAGAGCCTTATTGGAGCCTGATTTTGTTTTTGTCGCATACACATTCCAAACAGATCCCCAAAACACTTGGTCAACTAATATACCATTCTTCATAGTACAGTAACCTTTATTGATAAATTTTACCTGTTAAAACTTAAGGGATCTTTAAATCTAAAAATTTCCCTTGAGCTTTCTGAAAACCAAATAATCCTACTGCAGTCAGAAGACGCTGTCCTAAGTAGAGCTTTGCTTCAAAATCATTATTGTCAGATGAACAGATACAATGGCAGCTTGAAGCATGAATTTACTATGTAGCCATTGCCAATATAATTACTACCTAAAAATGGTACGTAGAAAGAAGTTGAAAGGCAATGTTTTTGTATCAAGTGCTGCAAATTTTTAAAGCACCATTGCCCTTCTAATATCAATTATAGTCACTAATTACATGTGTATATTACCTATCACCTTCCCAGCTAATAATATGAATAATACTAATTGCTGAAGTTTGTATAGTAGTTTAGTATCCCATTGTTTCATTTAATCCCCATAACAAAACAAAGAGGACATCCCTATTTTCATCACTTTATAGATGAAGAAAGCAAGTCCAAGCGAATTAAGTTTTGAGGCCTAGACTGCAAGAACTTGAACCCAAGTACTGTCACAGCTTGAACCCTTTAAAAATGAGAACTTGGGAATTCTATCTGTCCTCTTTGGTTTGCAATTTGCATTATGTTAAACCTCATCACACAAGCCAGGCATGATGGCTCATGGTGGCTGAGACTGGAGGATCAAGAGTTCAAAGCCAGCCTCATTCAACTCAGTGAGGCCCTATCTTTAAATAAATACAAAATAGGGCTGGGGGGGCTAGGGTTGTGGCTCAGTAGTAGAGCTCTTGCTTAGCACATGTGAGGCCCTGAGTTCGATTCTCAGCACTACCTAAAAATAAATAAATAAATAAATAAATAAATAAATAAATAAATAAATAAAATAAAGGTATTGTGTCCAACTACCACTGAAAAATAAATATTAAAAAAAAAAAAAAACAGGGCTGGGGATGTGGATCAGTGATTGAATGCTCTGAGTTCAATCCCTGGTACCCTAAAACAAAACAAAACAACTCATCACACAGAATAGTGGTCAGCAACTTTTTTTTTCTGTAAAGGGTCAAATGGTAAATAAACATTTTCAGCTTCTACAACCACTGAACTCCATTGTAGCCACAAAAATTGTCAAGGAAAATATGCAAATAAATGGGTGTGGCTGTGTTCTAAGAAACCTTTATTTACAAACACAGGCAGAGGGCCAGAGATTTCCAATCTCTGACAAAAAAGGATGAGTAAAACATAGAAGTATGTCCTGTCTGTTTCTGTCCTTTTCACCACATTCATTCCCTCCCCCATAAGAAATTATTGTAGCTGGGTGCTATGGTTGTAATTCCAGAGATTGGGAGGCTGAGGCAGGAGGGTGGCAAATTGGAAGCCAACCTCAGCAATTTAGTGAGACTGTGTCTTCAAATAAAAATAAAAAATGGCCAGGAGGGCTGGGGTTCTAGCTTAGTGGTAGAGCACTTGCCTAGAACATGCGAGGCACTGGGTTCGATCTTCAGCACCACATAAAAGTAAGTAAATTTTAAAAATTGGGGGCTGGGGATGTGGCTCAAGCGGTAGCGCACTCACCTGGCACTGCGGCCCGGGTTGGATCCTCAGCACCACATACAAAGATGTGTCCACCGAAAAAACTAAAAAAAATAAATATTAAAATTCTCTCTCTCTCTCTCTCTCTCTCTCTCTCTCTCTCTCAAAAAAGAGTTAAAAAGTTAAAATAAATAAATAAATAAATAAATAAATAAAAATGGCCAGGTACATAGCTGAGTGGTAGAGCATCCCTGGGTTCATTCCTCTGTACTGGAAAAATTAAAAAAGAAGGAAAAAAAAATAATGTGTTATTAAATGAGCTCCACTCCAGTAAATCTGAAAGTCCTTATGCAGACACTTTAAATATCTTTGCAGTTGTTTACATACAATTTTATTTAAAATCTCTATAAGTTACATGTCACAGAAAGACATTAGTATCAGTGTGCAGGTGTTCAGCAGTGTTACAAAAAAAAATAAAAATAAAATGATACAAAGACCAAAATACTTGTTTTGAAGGTTACTATTCTGTGTTCATGATACTTTTAGCATATTACATTCTGCAATTTTGTTTTGCCTGAATTCTCTACCCAGTACACTCACATCTCATCCTACTTCCATTTCCCCAACAAAGTAGAATCCGAAAATTGAAGTCAAGTGAGTGAGGGTATAGCACTGCAGTAGAGTGCTTGCCTAGCATGCACGAGGCCCTGGGTTCCATTCCCAGAACCACAAAAAGAAAAAAAAAAGTTAAGAAGAACAGATAAGTTATAGCATTTGCTATACACACCAGACTCATTTTTGCTGTTGAGATGGCTTTGTCACCAAGCAGAGGAAATTTTTTTTTTTTTTTTTTTTTTTTTTTGCAGAGAGAAGAGGCAGGATGGGAGACTGGGGTGGGGGCGCAGCCAGAACTGTGATGTCACAGATTGCTTTGTCTCTTGGGAAACTCATCCATCAAACCATCACCTCTGATTCTATGCAGGGTCACTAGGGAAAGAGGCAGCATGCCCCAGTTGGGCATTCTGAAGTGTTAGTATGTAGGGGAGCTGGTGGTGTGAAGGCGATTCATCTTGTTTCAAAGGCCCAGTGGCGTGCTGCCCAACACAGACACAAGCGCAGCGCGGCTCCTTAGAAATAATGACTCCAAGGCAAACAGCCCTCCTTGCGAAATGCAGAACTGTGCCATCTGCTTGTCTCCTTTGTGATTTATTCGTTTGGGGGTTTTAAATGACGTAATAAAGAGGTAAGTCTTCTTTTTAAAAACTGAAAGAGAAAGGGGGAATTCCAGATTGCTTATAGCATATTGGAAATATCTGTAAGGTACTTGTCTTAAATTAGAAGCGGATTTGAGTTTGTAAGGTGTGAATATGCTTTTGAAATTGGAACTGTGAATCCTGTCCTGGGAAGATAAGGTAAACTTTATATCCTTTTAAAAAAAGTCATGCCTTACAACTAAGCTAACATTTACCTTTTTAAAAATTTAATATTTTAAAGACATGATTTTTAAAAATGAATCTTTGTAAAAATAGCAATCCTCGGTATCTTTGACAGTTCAAGTGGAGACACATTTCCATATTAGCTTTTCCACTTTTTCTTGCTGTCTGCAGCTTATTTCCAGTTTGGGGATGAATTTAAAAACAAACAGCTGCTATACATTGTCAAGGGCTCTTAAAAATAAAGTGCTAGGTAAACTGGGGGAGCTTCCAGCTGATTGCGACATAATTTGCTTGAAATCTTTGTGTTCTGGGGCGGGGGTAGTATTAAAGGGTTGTAAAACTCAAATGAAGTTCCAAGCTGAGGGCTCCCCTTTTGGTCCCTGGGAACAAGGGGTCTGGAGGACACAGGAGCAAGCCAATCACACCTGGATGTTGGTCGCGGCCTGCCTACTCCCGCGATGCGCATTGGTGATGCAGTCGATGAGGAGTCCAGAGGGCTGGGTTCGAGACCTCTCTGAGGATTGGCCTGACAGGAATTAACACAGCAAGCACAGCCCTTGCGCCCTCCCCTCTTCGCTCCCCAGGAGAGGCGCTTCTGCAGAAGTCATTTGGTGTGTGCCGGTTTTCCTGGTGAGAGGATTAAAGAATAGGAGAGTGCTTTGTGAGAAAAATCCTGGGAGAGGTTGCTGGGGAGAAAGCAAACAGAGGCAAGGACGACTTCAGCTTTCCTAGTCCCCTCGGTCAAGTGGCTCTGAGAAGCCCAGTTGCCTGGCCTCGAGCAGCCGGGGTTTTCGGTCAGCCGTCGGAGAAACCGGTAAGGCGAATTTTTCTCCTGCTCTGGGATGCTACTGCGATTGCCTTTTGAAGTGCAGGGTCGGAAGCAAGGGAACTTGGTTAGCGATTCTGGGGACATCCTGCATTGTCTCTGCCTGGTGTATGGGAAGGGCGCTGTTTCCTGCACAAAGGGCCTGTAGCCATAGAACAATTTTAGTTTCCCCAAACTTGATTAGCATCACTTCTGAGCAGTCGACCAAAACAAAATGCGTGCGCACGCGGAGGCGAGGCCCCATATTGGAATGCACTTATCTATAGGATGATCACATTTTCAAGCATTTCTATCTAAATTTGATTAGTTTGGAGGCACAACTGCATAGGGGTGGGAGAATAATCAGGCCTACTTGGAAAATTCCTAATCATTTGTTCCCTGTGAGAATGTATTTTACCATTGCGTGTTTCACCTGTTTTGCAAGTAGATCCTGAGGATCAGGATCACTGCTAACAATCCGAATAATCAAGAGTAAATTTGAGCCATGTGAGAGTAGGGGAGAGTGTTCCCATCAAAATGAGGGGAATGGAATCTGGAGTTAGTCGTGAAGAACTTTACATTCTCCATTTGTTACACAGAGAGTGTTCTCACTGGAAAAAAACGGAATTAGGAACTGGCCCCAGAGTCAGAATAGGTACCACAGATGTCCTCCAGCATTTTCAAAGAATCCGTTCGCTCACACAGCCCTATTTAGCAAATGTTGCTTCTTGTCCCCTGCTTCCATTCTGTTCCTCTTGGAATTGACTTTGGTATTCGTATGAAGATATAAATATACACTATTAATATGATTTCTGGATACTTTTATATGTATGTACACACATATCCTTTTATTATGTCCTGGGAAACTTGAGCCTGAAGAGTTTAGAGATACATTAACTCAGCTGGAAGCAAACTATCTCTCAAGTAAGCTACACTCCTAGGGGCTGTGTTTAGAGTTGGGGATGCGTGGAGAACAGTGGCGGACATGGCTGTTGTTTCTGTGATGGACAAATCCGGAAGCCTCTCTCCTAGTAGCTAAAAACCAAATTCCTGAAAACCCTGCATGCCCTTCCCCCACCCACAGGACAGGGTGATAATCTTTGTTGTCCTTATTGCCTAAGATGGTTGTGATGCTGCCTCATTTAGGTGGTTCTCTACCCTTTTTTTCATCATTAAAATAAAAATCAAAAGCTTTCTCTGCAAAATTTCAATGGTAGATGTTTCCTTTGGAAACTTCATAGGTACCAAATAATACATTTATTACCATTCCAAAATGAAGTAAAATGATTCAACACGGATTAACCCAGGTTCACAACTTTGACTTCATTTAAAACTAGGTCCATGGGGTTTTTTTCTACTTGTTTCTGGAGTCTTAAGATGACCTGATTATTATAATATTTGAAAATTGAAAATGTCTGCCACTTAATTAAAACAAATCAGGATTTTTTTGAAAATGTATGACTACATACAACTATTTGAATATAATTTTTTGGATGCATATTGACATGAATGTCTGAAAAGTGTTGTTATTGTTGTTGTTGTTTTAATGAACTAATTATTTGCCTAAGGTAATCCTTTTGCCAAAAAATGAAAGTCAATTCCCTTTCAATTTAGGCTTTTGTTCTTTATGTACTGAAAATGCTAATTCAACCAAATGGTATTATCTTTGCCTTTAGAAATTGTTTACACAATGCTGCCAGTTAATTTGGGGGCCCTGAGGGTGATATAGTAGTTAATCAATTTATCTGTGGCCTGTGTGGATGCCTGGGAGGTTTTCAGGTTTTGATCAATGTCATTCACTATTCTCTGCCCCATGTTCATTCCATTTTCAAAGACTTTAGCTTCATAATATTTGAGCCCAAGAGCATGGAGTTTATTAGAATTGATTTTCTTTCCAGGTTGATATTTTAAAATACTTTTTTTTTTTCTGGTCGTTTTTTACAACTGCCTTCTGAGATTTTCATTCATCTGGCATGCATTACTGAGTGCCTGGGTGTCACCAGTATGGCCTACATTTGCTGTGAGAGAGAAGACTTTGCTTTGGTGGGGCTCAGTTGAGAAGTAGCCAAGGCTAGACCAACTTTTGCCATTCCAACAATTGTTTGCCTGTTCACTGTGGCTTAATTGCAAAGGTTCCTTCAATAACCGCCCCCCAAAAACCAAACAATAAAACGAACCCACTAATTCTTCTGAATTATTGATATATTAAAATATATTACTGGCTACTTAGAACCCAGGAGCTGGGGTAATCAATAGTCCTCTCACATTGCACAAGACCCTCTGTGTTTTCTTACTATTGCTGGGTATTTAAATAATTCAGAAGAAAGGTTTCTTTTGAATTAATCTGGCCATTGTACAAGTTGCAGAAGTACAGCTCAAAACCTTTCTGCAAGCTTAATCTTTACAGCTAGCAAATTACTATTCCTTCTCATTTGTTCTTTGATATATTAGTTTTCTTCTGTTGGATGGCTTTTACTAAATGTTTGATATATCACAATGATATCTATCTATCTATCTATATATATATATATATATATATATATATATATATATACTATTTATTTATATTTAAAACTGATAATAATGTCAATAAAAAAAGGGAACCATAAGAGAGAATTGAATGTTTCTTGAATTCCCATGTACCACACTGCCCGGGCTCCTTTACTTATGTTGCCTTATTCTTCTCAACAGTGCTTCGAAAAAGATTATGACCATTTTAAAGGATGAAGGAACTGAGGTTCTTGAGAATTTAAGAGTGAAATAATCTGGGTGTGTTGGTGCACACCTGTAATTCTGGTGGCTTGGGATGGTGAGGCAGGAGGATTATGAGTTCAAAGCCAGCCTCAATTTAGTGAGGCCTAAGCAACTCAGTGAGACCTGTCTTTAAATAAAATACAAAAAAGGGCTGGGGATGTGGCTCCGTGGTTGAGGGCCCCTGAGTTCAATCCTTGGTACCAAAAATAAATAAATAAATAAAAAATAAGTAAATAAATAAGTCATGCTATGTGACTGCTAAGGTAGCAAAAAAATCTGTCTCCTACTCTGCCAAACCACTTTTGAACCAACTTCTCTATTGTTCCCTTACCATCCGTGTCTTTCTTCCCAGAGTCCATATCAATTTGATAATTCTTTACAATTTATCTTTTTCAGTACCAGGGATTGAACCCAGGGGGACACTTAACCACTGAACTACATCCCCACATTCCCAGCCTTCTTTTATATTTTATTTTGAGATAGGGTCTCACTAAGTTGCTCAGTGCCTCACCAAATTGCTGAGGCTGCCTTTGAACTCCAATCCTTCTGCCTCAGCCTCCAGAGCTGCTGGGATTACTGGCAAATGCCACTGTACCTGGCTGAGTATTTTATCTTATTCCAAGTACATTGCATTTAATCTTCAAACCAATCCTCTTAGAGGGATATCATTATTGTTGTCATCCCATTTTTCAACTTATTAAAAAAAGAAGAAACTGAGGCAGAGAGAGGATATATGATTAACCCTAGCTGGCACAGTTTGCAAAGGATGAGAAGGAATTAGAAATTAAGTACTTTGACTTCAGGGTCTAGGGCTTTAATTCTTATACTCAACTGCCTTGCTGAACTACCAATTAAATTTTGTGGAGCTTTTGCTTTGAGAGTTATCTGTGCATTACCATGGTGGGTGCACAGGGATAGCAATTACTGTTATCAAGATGAACTGTGAATTTTTCTGAGGCAAATTGTTGTAGACTCCTAGCCATCAGGAGGGTGTGATACATGATAAAATATAACATTTATATTGATCACTAGACTTGGCCTAGGGGCAAAATTAGAAAAAGAGCTTATTTCGTTGCTCCCTAAGAATTTATGTCCACGTTAAAAAAATATTGCAATCATAAAAAATAGATGATCAAAAATCAAATGGTTCCAGGGCCCCCTGGATAAATCTGAGGTCTTTTTCTGTAAGGGAATGGGAAGAAGCAAGGCCATGAGAAGGTCAAGATGATAGGGTGCAGGAGCATTGTCTCCACTCATTGAATGAATGTGCTATGCAATTATGACAATGCTTTAAAATCACAGCAGAGAGAAAACTGAACCCAAGGTCTTTTACTCTGCTATGTGAATATTTAAAGACTGTTGGGCTCAACATACTAGATAGAACCACCTTTAAATGCCCAAGGAATCTTAAAATTGTGGGTTTTTTTTTTTGTTTTTTGTTTTTTGTTTTTTTTGTATCAGGGATTGAACTTGGGGTTCACTCTTCCACTTAGCAGCAACCCTTTTTATTTTTCATTTTGAGACAGGGTCTCACTCAGTGGCTGAGGCTGGCCTAGAGTTTGTGATCCTCCTGCCTCAGCTTCTGGAATGGCTAGGATTATAGGCATGTGCCACTGTATTTGGCTGATGTGTGCATTTTTTAAGGTATATATTTTTAGTGTGTGTGTGTGTGTGTGTGTGTATATATATATATATATATATATATATGTATATATATTTTCCCCTGGGGATTGAACCCAGGGCCTTGTGCATGTGAGGCAAGTACTCTACCAACTGAGCTATATCCCCAGCTCGAAGTCCTGATATCTTGACCTGATTGTTCTCCATTATCATTATTATTGATCAATTTGAGTATCACTCAATGTAGGTGGTCTTTTTAAAAAGAAATAGTCTTTGCTATGTGCAAAATAATACTACTAGTGACTCTGGAAGCTGAGACAGGAGGGTCAGCCTCAGCAATTTAGCCAGACCCTATCTCAAAACTGACAAAAAATTAAAAAAAAAAAAAAGGACTGGGGATGTAGCTTAGGTGTAAAATGCCTCTGGGTTCAAGCCTCAGTATCAAAGGGAAAAAAAGAGTCCTTGCCAAGAAAGATGTATTAAACATTTTTTGAAAAATTATTTACTTATTCTAATTTGTTATACTTGATGGCAGCATGCAGTTCATTTCATATTACTCATATAGAGCACAATTTTTCAAGTCACTGATTGTATGCAAAGTATTTTCACACCATTTGTGTCTTCATACATGTACT